AATTTATAAAAAAATAGTACAATATTCTTGTGTGTTTAGCTCAAACTATACATGCAGTAGAATTCCAAGTTGTTTTTGTAAAGAAGTTGGTTCAAATGTTGCTTAATAAATTAAACTCGTTATTACCTGACTGTGACATTCAATAAGGTAGGGGGGAGGGGGCTAAATCTGCAAATTTAATTTTTAAATGACTTTTAAAAAAATATTTTAACCACCTTGTTTTTCAAAATTTAGTTATTAGTTATTAAATCAACATAAAATTAAAAAATGTCGGTTACTTTTTGTAAAAATAGAAGGATTTCTTAAAAAAGGAAATAAAATAATTTTTTTTTTTTTTTTGTGCTTCACCTCCCCAAGGCCAAGAAGGCCACTTTAGATGAGGAGGCTACTTTTTTTTTTTTTTTTTTATTTCACTTCACTTCCTCAAGGCCGAGAAGGCCACTACAAACGAGGAGGCTACTTATTTTGTGCCCATAACTCCGAAACATGAACCTTGACAAACAAGGCCGTTGCGCGGAGAAACAAGTTGAGCGCGGTACTACCAGGGACGTGGTGGGGATCAAACTTGGAACCACTCGTTTATGAAGCGAGCGCTCTACCACTACACCACTACCGCATTTATTTTACTACTTGTGGTTATAACCCTCTCCCAACTCTTTAACTCTGAAGCATGAACCTTGACTAACAAGGCCGCTGTGCGGAGAAACAATTTGAGGTAAGTTTTCTGATTAGTTTTTTTAGTCATATAATTTGAACCACAAAAAAAAATTGTAAAAAATCCAATTTTGAAAGTAAGCACAAGTCAAACTTTTAATTGATGCATCAAATTTAATTACACTTTACACTTTAGAATTTTTACATTGTAAAAAATTAGAACTTTTCTTGACTACAAGATGTCTTGTTAAGTTAAGTTATCAAGAACAGTTCAATTGTTCTTCCAATGATGATAATTAGGGATGTACCGAAGCTTAAATTTTGCCGAAGCCGAAGCTTCGGCCGAATCCACTTTGCCGAAGCCGAAGCTTCGGCACTATATATGCTTAAAAATTAATCAGCATTCAGATCAGTGTAAAACAAAAAAGATACCAAAACTAAGGTCCTTGACTAATAATATAGAAAAAATATTTTAAAATGAGGACGCCAGCCAGGGTTGCTGTCTTAAGCAGGGCAAAAGCTCTCAGCGCCCCTGTTTGAAAGTTTTTTATTATGTAGTTTCTGATACTTGACCGCACCGAGCGTTTTTTTTTAAACTTAAGCTTTTTTAAAACATTCTCCCCAAATTTTCCTATTTCTAGTTCTACTTTTTCTGTGTGCAAACCATATTAATGTTATATAGTGCACAATATCAGTAACTCACATATATTTCCAACTATTCCCAATATTCTTCTAAGATTATTGCTATTTTTTTGATCTTTTAGAGCCGCACCGTTTTTCTATGTAAACATCGTTTTCTCTTTAATTCTCAATCTAATCATCTAATTTTTAATCCTCCATTCAATCATTTTGTTTGCTCTATCTAATTATCGTGTTCTAGCTGAACATCCTCAAGTTTTATTCCCCATAATTTACTGTTACGAATCTTTTCATGTCTATATATTTTATTTTTATTTTTATGCACCTTTTGTTAATAGAAGTGGATAAAAATCTCTGAACATTAGTCGATTAAATTTATCTTTTGCACTTGATCATTCTTTCTCTAAATAAACACTCTTAGCTGATCTAGTTGTATCTACAACATAAAAAATCTTACAAACACACTTTATCTTTTTATTGCTATTTATTTCAATATCTTTTTTTTACTTCTCTGTATTCATTAAACGAACAAATTCTAAACTAAAAAAAACCCAAGTTAAGACTATTTTGTATTCCACTACAACTGTTGTGAACCTGCTGCGAAAAAAAAGTACAATTGATAGATTTCGCTCTAACTTCTTTTTTACGCACTTTGAAGTATTTTTTTTTTTTTTGATTATTTTTAACTTTACATTGCATAACATTTTCTTTAGCTTCTATTTGTCTTTTACACTCTGAAATTTTTTGTTGTTGAGAACTTTATGTTTTTTATGTGTCACTCCATTGATTAGTTTGTATCTATATAAGTGACACCTAACCAATTTTTGTAAATTTACGATGAAAATTTGTAAATTTTTATTAATATGGTTAAATAAAATTTTAAAAAATTAAACATACACAATTTAAAATAGTAGCGACGTATCTTTAATCTTCTTTAAAGTGAGATTACTAAGGTTTAAAGGTCAAATGTTGAAACCAAATTTTGTTCTATTTACGGTAATCCCACACAATAATTAATATGAATTCGTTACATAATACAAATTAAGGTTTTTTTTCCATTTTATTTTTAAAAAGTTTTAATTTGTTTTAAATTATAAGGTTTTTATTCTGCATAAAAATGCTGGTTCAGTTCATCTAAAGTCACACTTGGAAGCCTTCAAAGTGTATGAGGACCTTCCCTAATTTTATTATTATTTTCAAAATATTTCTACTTATTTATTATTATCCCCTCCATAACAAGACACTTGGGAGTAAATATTACTAAGTATATGGTATAGACTCCAACTTTAACTATGTAGTCCTGAATTTATAACTTAATAAGACACTGGCAATTAGCGTATTTTTATAACTTGTACAACAGTAGCTCATAACTTTAATTACTTAAAAATACTTGCCGAAGCCAAAGATTCGGCAAAAAATTGACCTGGCTTCGGCCGAACCGAAGCTTCGGCAAAATTGCCGAATCTTCGGCATGCCGAAGCCGAAGCTTCGGTACATCCCTAATGATAATGAATACATCAAAAAAAAACTTTATTGTACAAACGAATAACAATTTTTTATTTTTTCTGCTCTATTGTTGTTTAATGACAGTGGAATTGTAAATTACCACTGTCATTATCACAAATTTCTTCACTGATTGAAATTTGTAGTTTTCAATTTTTTTATAGTCTCACTTGCTACTCAAATAGTTTTACTCTACCCTCAACTGCCTCTACCCTATGCTCAACTACCTCAAACCTATGCTCAACTACCTTTACCCTATGCTCAACTACCTCTACTCTTACTGCTCAACTACCTCTACCCTATGCTCAATTACCTCTACCCTATGCTCAACTACCTCTACTCTTACTGCTCAACTACCTCTACCCTATGTTCAACTACCTCTACCCTATGCTCAACTACCTCTACCATATGCTCAACTACCTCTACTCTTTAAATATTTTTTTATTTTTGCATATAATAAAAGCTAGTAAATAAAAGTGACAAAATGTGTTTTATTTTAACATTAAATATTGTAAAATTTTTAAAGTCATTATTCAAGGTTTTTAGGATTTATCAAATCTTGAATCATTTTTCTGATGCGATTTGAAAATTCTAAGCTTTACAAGGCCCTTTGAAGATCTGGAATAAAAGATGATAAAATTTTAACATCACTATGAAAAAGCAAAGCTTCTTTTAAAGTTCAAAAAACTTTAAAAGAAGCTCTCTAATTGTTGCAATTTAATGACTCAGCATAAATCAAAAAAATAAGCAATTAAAGTAAAAAAACAGTCAAGAAAAATTTAAATTTAAAAATATAAATTTAAACAAATCCTTAATTCAATTCAATTTTTATATCAGATATAATAACAACAATGATATCAACTAATATGGCGCTGCTCTGATTCTATAGTTGGTTTCAGTGAAAAAGATAAGTTTATTTTTAAAAGTTTTTTTTTATAAATATAAAATAGATAATCCTGACCAAGTGGACAATTTGAAAATTATTTATCTCATCAAAAGTAGTTCATAGACATCTAATTACACATCAAAATGTTGAGATAAAGCAATGTCTAATCAGATGCTTTTGATTATAAATAAAGATTTTTCTACCCTGCTCTGCTAAAAATAATTTATTATTATAATCTATTATTATAAAACTATTATTATAAAACTATTATTATAAAACTATTTTATTAAAGAGTTATTAAATCATTAGTAAATCAAATAAATGTTTATGTAAATATTTGTAAGTTTTGATTGACAATTGTTTAAAGTATTTTAAACATTTACTTTATACTTAAAATAAATTTAGTAATTACTAAAATACTAACTGATTACAACAATGTTGATATAGTAAACTAGCTGTGAACAACTAAATTTTGTTAAATATCACCAGCCACTATCACAAAAAAGAATTTTAGGTAAATTTATTTGAAACAAGATCCTCATCACTTTATTGTAACTGCTCATTTGAGTTTTGTAATGCAGAAAAGTAATTCTTGTTGGAAGCAGTAAATAGTTGTTTCTGAAACTTCATTCATAAACAAGCATTTTTTGTTTTGTTTTAAAAGTCGTATGAGAATGCAGTCTGTAACTTTTTTTTAATGCAGATATGAAAAAATTGAAATAAAAAGATGTCATTATTATCTTCAACAGGCAATATTTAAATATCAAAGTAAACATCCTTTGGACAGAAAAATTAAGCCTTTTAATTTTTTAACAAGGTAAATATACCTTTTGAAAGCATTAAAAAACTTTTCAAGCCCTGTTTTTTAATAATTTAAAAAAGTATTTTTTAGTTATTTTTTAAATAAACTTAAAACTTTTCAAGTTGTTTAATAAAGTTATCATTTTACGTATTTTAAAATTATAAGGTTAACAAATCGAAAAAAAAGTTAAATCATTAGTTTTAGTAGGCAATTAATCAGATAATTACGAAAGTGATGAATTTTATCTAAATTTATCTAGGTATTGTGGAATATTCATTATTATATTGAAATTTGATGAAAGTGAGGTTCCCTAATATTTTCAACAAAAAAAAATTTACTATGTCAAATCAAAAAAAAAAATGTAATTACAAAAAAAGTAAAAAAAAAAAAAACGTTTAAAAAATAATCATATTTTGTAAGAACACCTACGCACAAAAAAAAAATGCTTGAACATGTTAAATTTTATTGTGATATAAATTTATTTTATGCATCCTATGGTATTATGCATTTCTTTAGATCCAGAAGAATTTTTAACTATATTGCTTGAAAAAGTTTTAAAAGTTGAACCTTTTATGACATTAAGGTGATTTACAGTTTTTTTTTTTTTTTTTTTTTTTTTTTTTTTTGTTATTGTTTTTTGTTTTCTTTTTTATAATAAGTAGAACCCAAAAAAGTTGAAAAAAAGATCTTTTTTTTTTAAACTTACTATTGGATACTTTATGATTTTTAATTATTCTTTAGAACACATAATCAAGAGGATATAGGTGTTTACCTTTATCAAATAATTGCTGACATCAATCCATTAAATCCACAACCATCAATTCAATATTTGATGGAGTTATCATTTATATCAAATAAATCTCAACTTCTTAAGGTAAATTCTTTAATCAGAATTAAATGTTTAAGATATATTCACCTCAATATCATATAAATTAGTCTTGATTAGTTTTGTTTACTAATACTACTGACAGTGTAGTTTTTTATACTTTATTTTTTTAATTTGTTTATTACTTAGTTTTTTTACTCAAAATTTTTCTGATGTTATTTGCTTTATATGTTATAACAGAAATTTATGAAAAATTTATGAGATTTTTTCACAAAATTATATAACTTTTTGTTGTAGTTAATTAAAACTGCTTGAAATTATTAAAATGGATTGCGCAGTAATTAATTACAAAATAGTTATTAGGAAGTTTTCTAGATGAATGCTATATGGTTGATTACAGGATGAATAGTTGCAGAAGAAATTGAGTGAGACTAATTAATAGTCGCTAGATAGTTTTGTTGCAAATGAAAAAAATTTGCTGCCATCTACAAGTTTTTATATTTTACTGTATTTCTCTCTTGTTGCAACCCTTTAACTTCAAAATTTGACAACACAAGCCTTTACAAACAAAGGCCACAAGTTAAGGGTGATAATACACATGTTATGCGTTAAGGGTGATAATACGCATGTTATGTGTTAAGGGTGATAATACGCATGTTATGCATTAAGGTTGATAATACGCATGTTATGCGTTAAGGGTAATAAGACCACAAGTAATTAAAATTTATAAATAAATATAAACAATATAATTGAGAAATATAAATAAACGTAAACAATAATAATCTTTAAAAAGTTAAAGTTTTTTAGTTATATGTTATAAAATATTGGCATGTCATGCCATGTGACAATATACATATAGTGTATGCATACACAGACAGTGCGTGCATGTTTTATATAGAATATTGGCTTTTCTTTCTTTTTTTTCTTTTTTTTTATCTTAAAATCTTAATTGTTTCTTCAGGGGTAAAAGTGGCAGTTAATACATCTTTTATACCATTTTAAAATAGAGTTTATAAAAGCTTAAAATTAAATTTATATATTTTTAAGTTTATGGTTGTATATACCATGGTTGTTTAATCTAAATAAAATAGACTCTATCCTCAAAAAACTTATTTATACATATATACTTGCCCAAATGATAATAATTGTGTTGAGCCAATGTAGGCTAACTAAGTTGTTTTGGTCTCAAAAAATCAATCCTCAAAAAACAATTTATCCCTCAACTAAAGAGTATATTGTATTTTAATCAAAATTTAAATATTTATAATTTTTTAATTAAAAAATTATAAATATTTAAAGGGATCCTTAAGTGCAATAAAGATATGATCTCATATGAAAGAGCATTAAAAAAAAATGTTTGATGTATATTATTTTTTTAAAACGTAATAATGAACACACACTAACAAATTTAATTTTCAAAAAAAACGCTTTTCTTCGATTAAAAAAAATGCGTCTTGTCCAAAGTTTATTGACTCTATTGCCTCAAAAAACTAACGTTTGTACGTCAAATTAAACAAAGTAGACAAAATGTCATTATTGCAAACTTATTAGTTGGTAATTAAATTTAAAAGTCGTTTTTTTTTCAACTAACACATAATTACTTATAAGAATAAGTTTTGTAGTATTTTGTGAAAATATATTTGCATATTAAAATTTTTTTTATAATTTTAATTTATATATTTGTGTTATAAGGGCAATTCCACGGCAAAAAATGAATAGAAGTCAAATTTTAAACTCTTTTTATTCAGTTTTTAACAAATGAATACTGATGTAGACGCATGAAAGTTTATATAAAATATTTCCTTAGTAGAAAAATAAATTTATTTCAGTCATTTTATGGTTTTAAAAGTGGCGGTTACTCTCATTTTTTCTTGATAAAAAAAAAATTACTGTAAAATGTTTTAGTTAAATTTATGTTATTTTTTGTAACATTATGTAACATTTATGTTAATTTTGCTATATTTTTTTGATTCAAATTGATAAGGTTGAATAGACATTTTATTAGAAAGTAAACTAAGACAGAGCTTGAATTAACGCAAAAAAATGTAATCGCAAAAAAAAAAAATTTTTTTTTGCTCTCCCCCCCCCCCCCTCCTCTATTATAGCACGCGCCGATGTGCGGTAATGGGGGGAAAAAGTTATCGTAAATCAAATCGTCAAAAACTTAATAAAAAATTAGATACCACGTTTTTTATAATTTATTGTTTTTTGAATAAAGGACTAATAAAAGTTTAAATATAATTGAGTTTTTCATCTAAATGGTTGATGTTTTTATTCAAATTTTCAAGTTTTTTCAAAAATTCAAGTTTTTATTCAAGTTTTTAATCAAATTTCTATTTCAAGTTTTCCAATAAATGATGAAACAAAAATAGTTGGTTTAATAAATCTTAAAGTAAAAAAGTGCTGGTTTTTATTAGCATTTTTATACTGTTTGAAAAAAAAACTAGTAAAAAAGAATTAACTAATAATATATTAATTAATAATTATTAGAATTAATAATAATAATAATAATTAATATTTAAAAATTATAAAAATTATAAAATTTATATAAAAATTATAAAAATTATAAATTTATAAATTTATATAAAAAAAGTTATAAATTTATATAAAAATTATAAAAATAATAAAAATTATAAAAATTATAAAAATAATAATAATAATTAATTCTTTTTTATAAGTTTTTTTTTTCAAACAGTATAAAAATGCTATAAAAGTCAGTAATTTTTTTGATCTAATATTTTTAAGCCTTAATTTAAACATGATGTTTTGATAAACAAAGATTAAAACCAACTTTTTAACTTTTCCCTTTAATGACCTAATGAAGTAATTTAAATTCAAAAATGTTTTATGTTAAAAGAAAATCTCCGCGCGAAAGAGCAAATCATCTATTCATCTATCTATTCAGAATAATAAATTTTGTGTGACCTTTATGATAAAAACATTACTTTTAAGAATTGCTAAAAAAAATGCTATGCTAGAAAAAAAGTAATTAAACAACCAAAAAAAAAAACAAATCGCAAAAAGATTTTTTTGAGGAAAAAACTAATCACGAAAGTGTGAAAAGCAATCGCGATACGCTTAATACGAGCCCTGTAAGACTTTTTTATAAGTTCTAAACTATTTAAAACTATTACTTAATAACTTTTTTTTAACGACGTCTTTCAACCATGCTATTATACTGTTTTTGCAAAACTAATTAAAAAAACTTGATTAAACAACTATTTAATCACGACTTTTTTTTTACTTAAAAATCGAAGTAGATATTCTAAAGTTGTTGTAACGTACTAACATGATTTTTAACGACTAACAATCGAGTTTCAATGGTAAAAAAATAAAATCAAAATGGAGTTATTTTTCAGTGATTTCGGCAATTGCTTTTTGTTAGCATGCATTTATTATTACAATTTAGTGAAAAAAAACTTACATATTTTTTTTTTATGCTCTTTTATATGAGATTGTATGTTAGGAGCACTTAAGTGTTTAAATGTTAGGAGCACTTAAGTGTTTAAATGTTAGGAGCACTTAAGTGTTTAAATAGAGCACTTAGGGATCCCTTTAAGATTTTGTATTCCCATGTATTAATGAAATTTAATTTTGATATAATTTTTGTAAATTATTAATGTTCAGCGCAGTGAAAATGGATTTTAAAATTAGAGTTTTATTAAAAGTCAATCTTTTTAAATTAAGATTTAATTTTTTAAAAAGTTTAATTACAAATTAAAATTTTATAAAGCAAAAAGAAATGACGAGTAATATAACAGATAAAATTTGATTAAATAAAAACTTCTATTATGAATGTAACTCTTTTTTTTTTGAATTTTACAAAATTTTAAATACAGTATTTCAAGGGAGCATAGATTCCCTTGTTATCAAGTAAAGTATATTATACTTGATAACAAGAAGAGCATCTGTATTCGTTTGAAATATTGTATATAAAAATTAATTAAAAAAATTAAAGACATCCATAATAAAAGTTTTTATTTAATTATATATATTAAACTCTTTAAAGATTCTTTTAAATTATTATGATATTATCATCGACTCCCCCTCCCCTCTTAGGGTTTCTCTCCCAGGAATGTATTAAAATGGGTAGGACTCCCCCACTGCCTCCTGTCAATATTTGATAATTTTATTATAATTATCAAGATATATTACAATTACTGATAAAAAAGCTTTTTTTAAAACAAAGCAAAGTTTTATCAAGTTTAGAAGAGACTGGGATTGGGTCTGTCTAATAAATTTAACAAGCTTGAAGATAACAATTGTAATTATTACAAGTACAATTAAGGAATCTCTTATACATTTCTCTGCCAGGAATGTATAAAAATGGTTAGACCTCCCCATTACCTACTGTCACATTTGATAATTTTATTATAATTATCAAGATATGTTGTGATTACCATTTATATAAACATAAATATAAAAGCCTTTTTTAAAACATACTATGTATACCAAAGTTTAGCAATGAGACTAGGGTTGTCTCAGTCTAATAATTTTTTTTGTTAAACATTTCAATTTTCAACAAGGCTGCAAGCAACCACTTTTAGAGTTTGAAGTTAATGAAAGAGAAAAGATGAAGTTTATAGAGCAAGATAACAATTGATCTGTCAGTAGATAACAATTGATCTGACTTAAAAGATTGCATATTGTTTGAATCAGGAAAGTAAGATGAAGAAAGCAAATTCCAAAGGATTGTTGTTCTAGGAAAAAAACTAGATAAGTAAGAATTTTTGGAGCACTTAGGAACAGTCGCAGTAAAACTATGAAACTTAATTGAATAGCAAGTGACACAAGAATAAATTTTAGAAGATGGCACAAGAGACGATAGCATTTTAGAGCAGTGCCCATTATGTTATTAATAGTAAAGAGAAAGAGAAGCAACATTACGGTGATGTGATAATGAAGGTTATCTGTAAAAGCAAGTTCAACTATGTTTACAATGCATTTTTGCACCTTGTCTAAAAAGAAAGGGCATCATTAGAGGATCTGCCCCAGATATGTCAACAGTATTCCATATAAGGATGGATTTGAAATATACGGAGATAAAGAATAGAATTTTAGGAAAAAAATTTTATCTGTTATTTTACTTGCTGTTTCTTTTTGCTTTATAAAATTACAATTTGTATCAGTAATTAAACTTTTTAAAAAATTAAATCTTAATTTTTTAAAACTTTACTAATACTTTACAAAAATTATATCAAAATTGAATTCCAATAAAACATGGGAATCCAAATACAAGGGAATCCAAGCAAGTCAAAATTATAAAAATTTAAATTTTGACTAAAATATGTAACACTTTTTTGTTGATGTATAAATTGCTTTTTGAGGATAGAGCCCATTTTATTTAGATTAAATAAGTATATAGAACCATAAATTTAAGAAATATATAAATCCAGAGTTATTAAAAATTGGGTTAACTGATGCTGCATTCCAGCAGGCTAGAAAGGCTAGCCTTTCTACCATACATACACCTAAAGCCTTTTTACCATACATACACCTAAATTTGTATGTATGGTAAATGTTGTTTGTAACTGTGTAACAACATTGTATATTTGATAAATATACATGGTTGTTACACAGTTGCAGGGCTCAATTAAGTTTTTTAGAAAGTCAAAATGTCCGATCAAAACTTGTTTGGGTTGAACAGTGTCAAATCAAATTTTTAAAATATAAATTTTTCAGTAAATATCCAGGGAGCACCAAATGAATGTAGGTACCTAAAAAAAAAAAAAAAAAAAAAAATGTCCTTCATATATAATATAAGGAAAATTTGATAAATAAAGGCGCCAATCGGGATTGCTGTCCCAGGCAGCATAACAACTCTCGGCGGCCCTAAACAAGTTATACTAAAGAAATTTTATCATGTTATTCAGTTTATTTAACGTTAGTCTAGTGTTCAAGTCGTAGTTTCTTTCTTTATTATTTCATCTCAGATTTTTGTTTTTTAATGAAATTCAATTTAATATTGAATGCTTTTTTAGATAGGCTTAAAATCAGACTGTAACTGACAACGCTTTTTTTTTTCTTTACAATTTGGCGACGGTCGTTTTGATGTTTTAACAATTTAAGTGCAATAAAAAAAATCATTACGCTACAAATAACTTTAAACCATTGATCTTTTTTTTTGTCAAGTTTTTTTATTTTTAACCATAGATCTTTTTTTTTTTTAATAATAAATTTAAAGTACTTTTATATGTCTTTCTTAAAATCTTTTAAAAGAATAACTTTTTAAGTTACTTTGAATTATGAATTTAAGAGTTAAATTAAATCTTCATAATTTAATTGCTTTTTATAAGAAAAAGAAGTTTTAGAAGTTTTGTTTTTTCAACTTGACTTACTAATTAAAGCATGAAATGATTAAAAATTACGATTTTAAAAAGATGTTACTTTTTTTAAAAATATTTTCTTTTTTAACTTTTTAAAAAAAATTTTTTTACAACTTGAAAATATAATTTTTTTTTTTTTCAATAATTTAATTTAACTTTTCAATAACTTAAATAAAATTTGTTCATTTATGTATCAACAATCATCAATCAATAAAAGTAACAGCGTTTTTTGTAAAAGCATTTTGCGTAACTTTAATAAAGTGTTTAAAAGATAAGTTTTTAAAGTAATTTTTTTCAAATGCCATTAAAAATGTAACAAAGTGTATTTTTAACTTTGAGTTTTTATAGTTTTATTTTAAAGCTAATTGGTTTTCTTTTTTGTAAGGAATTGTTTTGCTTATTCTTTAGTTTTTCCAATTTTCTTCCTAGTTTAAGTTTAGTTTAATGTTTCTTTTTTCAAGGCATTTCTGAAATATTTAAATCATCAAAATATCTAAACAGTTGTGATCAAGTTGTAAACAATAAAATCATTTGCGTGGTCAGGAATAGCGTTTGATCGCACGCTGATCCTGTCCAAACTTTATTTTGTGGAACTTAATTCTCGTTAGAGAATTAAGTTCCAAAAAAAAGTCAAAATGTCTGATTACTTTGTAAATTGATTGGACAATCTGAGGTTTTAGCCGGACAATGTCCGATATCCAACCATTAAATTGAGCCCTGCAGTTGTGGTGTTTGGAAAAAGTCGAGGCTCACCAGCCACAAAGAATAAATTTTAATTGTTTATGCGACACAAAGATTGTAAAAAGTGACCAACAGAGCCGTCCAGTTATGTAGATGTGATCCTGGGATCACTGGGAGATGTGA